CCCGAGATGGCTCACGACACCCTTCGCTCTTCGGAACCCTGGTGGCAAGAGCTTGTTACGTCACCTCTCTCTGTTGGGAGCCCGGGTGTTTAAAGACTTTTACGTTGCCGCTCGTTCCTGGGAGCCTTGGTGTTGAGAGTTGTTTACGTCACCGCGCTCTGGGGAGCCTTGGTGTTCAGAGCTTGTTGCGTCACCGCTCGCTGTGGGGAACCATAGTGTTCCTTAGCGTCTCTGGGGCTTCTTGGGAATCTTTTGGGGGCCCTGTTGGACCGTTTTGGGACTCTCGGGCCGTCTTTGGGCCAGCCCAGCCCCTACACCCAAGCAGCCCCGACGCGCTCTCTTGAGGCCGTCTGGGGGCCCTCTTGGGCCGTCTTGGAGCCCTCTTGGGACGACTGGGGTTTTTTCGGTCCCTTTGGGGGAGCTCTGGAGCCGTCTTGGGACGATCTTTGATGTCCATTGGGCCGTCTCGGGCCAGTCTGGGGGCCCTCTTGGACCGTTTTAGGCTCTTTTTGGGGCGCCTCTGGGGCCATCTTGGGACGATCTTTGGGGCCTCTTGGGCCGTCCGTGGGATTGTGAAGGGGAGATCCAGAACAACCTGCAACAACAATCGGGAAATCAAGGTGTTTGGCCTCCTGAGGCCCTCTCGGGGGCCCTCTTCAGGGCCTCTGGAGCCGTCTCGAGACTCTCTTGGACCGTCTGGAAACAATATGAAGCTCTCTTGGGGCCCTCTTGGTGCCCTCTGAAGCCGTTTTGAGGCCCTCTTGGACCGTCGTGGGGCCCTCTGGCTGGACCACCCGACAAAAGTACAAAGGAACAGGCCATGGGAGCCGCCCAGGAGCCGCTTCACTCGAAAAAATACGAGGGACAACGGGCCAGTAGACCAATGTCTTCGGCCGTGACCCCTCCCCCTGACCCCCTCCCTAAAAGGGCTTCGCCCCCCACGAAACGTCTCTCGCTTGTACCTCGCTCTTTCCGTCACCTCGACGAAAGGTGGCCTTGGTATCCATGGTGGCGCCCATCTGTTGGGATGGCGTAGGATTCTGTCAACTTCATGGGATTAGTCCATGTTGTCGTACCCGGGGTAATCTTCGTCTGCGTTCTCGTCGAATATTGCTTCTGTGTCGGATCGGAGCGGTGGGTGCCTCACGTCATGTCGTTGTCGGTCATCTGGGCACTGCCGTTTCTGATCATGATGCGTGTTGGGGCAGGCGTCGGCTGGATAAGCTCGGTCACGGGTGCCACCCAATTGTGCTTCTCCTCGATTAAGCGTCGGATTCGATGGCCGGTCTCTCGCGTGTCGGCGGATAGCAGCAGACCCCTGCTGAGGACGTCGGTGATACGCAGTGTGTCGCGACATTGCGTGCTGGGCCCTGGCGATGATGGGCCCGCAGTCGGCGTGTGGCCTGTAGTGCTGTCAGTCTGTGCTCGGGCGCTCGGCTCTGCTGGCGTATTGTTTTCGTCTGTGGCACATCGTTCGTCGGGTGCGTCATCTTTGCCGTCGCCGCCGTGGACTGTTTGCTGCCCCGCAGTTTCGTCCGGTGGCGCAGCTCCGTGGGCCTCCAGCAGTTCGTCAGTCGTCGCGACGGCGCGGTTGGGGACCCCCTCTGGGAGATAAAGATCGCGAAAGGTGCTGGCGTGGACGTGGGGTTGCGACAGATGTACACGAGGACGTCGATTCTCTCGTTGGCGGCTAGCTGGAGCGTAGGCATGTCCCTATAGTCGTCGGTATCCGGGTAAGGGGCCATCGCGCGGCGAGCTGATGGTTGCTGAACTTGGCTACAACGATCTGCTGGTGGGTCATGTCGGATTTATGAGCTGGCGTAAGTGCCTCGTTACCCGTGGAGTGGTGAAGGGAAGCGGCGACGTACGTCATCAGCTGGTCGTGCTCGGCTCTCTGGATGCGGTTGGGGTCTGCAGTCTAGTCGTAGCTGGACTCTGGGTCGCTGATGCCCCCGATGGATTCCGATATCATCTTGCGGACATGCATCTTGCACAGCGGGGTTGTCCTCTCGTAGTGGATGCGGCTGATGTCGTCGGTCAAGCGCGCGATGGCGTCCTGCTGTAGGTCTGCTCCGGAGGAGCCTGATCTCATGCCGACGTGTGGTTTCTCGATTGGTGCAGTGGTCTGCTTGTGCACAGTATCCATGTGTGGCTTGGTTGATGTCTTGTCGGTGGCCTCAGCAGGCTCTGGTTTGCAGGGGACCTGTGCTAAGGAATGTGGTGCTGCTCCGTGTGGATGGTGTCGTCTTTGGCGGGCGGTGTTCCGTAGCGGCCTCCAACCTTCGGCGGAGCCTTGGCGTTGGCGTCGCTGCCGCCGTTGGGGGTGCCGTCGGTGACTGCCGTCGGTGGTGGCGTTGTAGTTGCTGCCGTCGCTGGGTCGAGATCCTGAAATTGCTGGGGCGTTCGGTTGCGGTCGTCGGCTAGGCGGTTGCTGTAGTGTGTATAGTCACTCCCCGCAGCTGAGGATTGCTGGTCGTATGGCTGATGGCTTGCAGTTGCAGGTGGTTCCACCGTCTGGATATCCGTGATGACCCTCGTGATCCCTTTTGAGTTGAGGGCGGCGTTGGATTGATGCCAGACTATGCGGTAGAGGATGCTTCCAGGTTGAACGTCCGCCTCGATGTTAAGGGAGTTCTTGTCGCCGGGGTCGCTGTTGCACCTGATGATGCTACAGTGTGGGCGCGGCCGCAAGAAAACCTCGCAAGAAACCCAACCCTGAGAACCCATGCGCGAGGTGCACCTGAGGGGAAACCCGGAGCACCCTGAACGCAGCAGCTCCTCCGACGGCTGCGGGAAGTCACCGCGCAGCGCTAGGAGCGAAGAAACCCAGAGTACCCTGACGAAACGTAGACGGTTTCTTGAGGCGCGCCCCCACTGTATCGTCGAGCACGCATCTGTCAATGTAGACGGATATCGCCTGCGGCGACGGGGACCTTAGCTTCGGCGGACGTGGTGGCTGCTGCTGGCCGCTTGTCGCCATGGGTGGCTTACTCACAATGCTGTTGTTCGCGTCGTAGAAGCACTCCTCGCTGTTGGAAGCGACGGCATGTTTCCAACCTGGGAGCCTCAAAACATTGCCAGGGTCGTCCCAGGCTGACTCGCGGGTCTCAATGCCTTCAGTAGTACACCTGGTAACTCCAGTTGGCTGGGTTTTCGGTTCTGCAGACGACCCATGGCTTGGGGCATGGACGCCGCAATGGGATGCCCTGTGGGAGGTCTAACTAACTGCTGCAATGCTCGTACTGAATCGCGTTCCGTCCCTTGTTGGTAGCCGGGCGGGCAGAATGGTGGCGGCGAGCAGTCGGGTGGCGGTGGATCTCTGCCAGGCTGCGGGTATGGGATGGGGTTAGCTGTCAAGCCTCGGTTTGCCGTTGTTGGATTCGTTTACGTAGGTCGTGGTGGTCGTGACCACATCCACCTCCTCCTCCTCCTCCTCCTCCTCCTCCTCCTCCTCCTCTTCCCCCAACTGCTCCTCCTTTTCCCCCTCCTCCTCGTCCTCCTCCTCCTCCTCCACCTCTTTTTCCTTCACTCCCTCCCCTGCTTCCTCGTCCTCCTCCCCCACACCTCCCTGTTTGCCACTGGCGAGACGGGTCCTGAAGAGGAAAGGGTCCTGGGCACCAGACGCCATCCCCCGAGACCACCTCTCGTGGCCCCGGGGCCCCGGGGAGGGCGCCCAGCCCGACCACTGCGAAGCGCATACCTGGGACCCAGGATCTGTAGCTGCTCCGTCAGGGCCCCGTCTCCCCTCGTGGGCCGCCCTGCCCGCCTGTCCCGCTGCCCTGCCCCCCGTCCACCCCGGTCCTTCGGCCCCCGCTGCTGCCCCCTCTCCCCCCCCCTGCCCCAAGACGGCCCCCCGATGAGATGCAGGACCCATCGGCGTTGAACATCGACACCGGATCGGATCGGACCGTGCGTGGGATCGGGCCGCATCGGCACGGAGTCCGGATCGAATCGGATTGGCTGCGCCAGAGTGCAAAGCGATCCGCGTCGGGTCGTCCGAGCATGGGCCCCCTTGAGAAAAACGTGGTTTGGTGAAAACGACATCGGGCCCAGACCTGGCGGGCGCAAGCCTGGAAAATGACGGCCGCGGCGCCCCCTCGAGAACCGAAAGCGGATCATTCACTCATCGACGTGCCAGGGTGGGGGTTCTGTCCGACCCCGGAATCTAATCGGATCGCATCGGGCCTGGCCGGAACCGACATCTCTCGACTCCCGGGTCACGCATCGGGTCTGCCGCGGCCGCCCTGGACGGCCTGGGCACCCCCAGCTCGCTCTCGTCGGGAGCGGTCAAGAGGGGGGTGTCCAAGAGGGGGGGGTGCAAATCATGACCGGCGGCGTGTGCGCGGCCCAGCGGGAGGGCCAGGGACGTAATGAAACAAGAAGAGGCGCCACGAAATCTGAGGAAATCTCATGGCCCGCGCCATAATATCCCCCCCCCCTAGTCATCACCCCCCTCTTTTCCGCCCCCGATCTCGGCGCGGCGCAGCTGCTGGGTCGCATCCTCGGGCAGGACGCCCCCAAAGAGTCCGACGAGAGAGCGCGGAAACCGCGCCGAGGTATCGATACCGACCCACCCCGATCGGCTCGAAAGGGGTCCCGACCGAGAGGTCCGAGGAGGAAGAGGGGGAGGAGGAGGAGGAGGAGGAGGAGGAGGAGGAGGAGGAGGAGGAGGAGGAGGAGGAGGAGGAGGAGGAGGAGAGGAGAAGGAGGAGGAGGAGGAGGAGGAGGAGGAGGAGGAGGAGGAGGAGGAGGAGGGAGGAGGAGGAGAAGGAGAAGGAGAAGGGAGAAGAGGAGGAGGAGGAGGAGGAAGGAGAAGGAGGAGAGAGGAGGAGGAGAGGAGGAGGGAGGAGAGGAGGAGGAGAAGGAGAAGGAGGAGGAGGAGGAGAGGAGGAGGAGAGGAGGAGGAGGAGGAGGAGGCTGATGAGGAGGAGGAGGCTGATGAGGAGGAGGGCGCCAGCGGCGGCGGCAGCCGCCCAGCCGAGGGGGGGGGGCGGCCCCGCCTCACCCCCGCCGGACAGCGCCTCGAAGCGGGAGGCGTTGGCCCGCACGATGGTCCCGGGCGCCACGTTGGTGACGAACATAACGTCCTCGGCGCCGCCAGCGGCGGGAGGAGGTCCCGCGCTCGAGAATCCATTTGGTCGTCTCGGTGCCTCCTTGGGCCGTCTCGGAGCTCCTCTGGAGAACTCTCGTGCCGTTTCGGGGCCCTCTGGAGACCCTCCGGTGACGTCTCAGGCTCCCCGGGGCGCTCGGGGAACCTGATCGTTCCAGGATCGATGGGGAGGGCACTGGACGGCATGACGATCCCAATCCCCGATTCTGTGGGGTTTCCGACTGGATAAGACGTTCAGGGCCCAACCCTGGGATGTGTGATGCGGGGGGGGCGTCTACTCTCGATGCGGGTGCGTCCGAAGAGCTCCCCGGGGACGTAGCACCGAGATTCAAACGTTATCTGAGAGGCTGCTTTTGTTGTTGGGGATTGCTGGGTTTGGGGGGACATATCCCCTGCGACGAGATTTCGAGGCGCTCGAGCATCCAGGATCGAGGAGGACAGGAGTAGGAGTAGGAGTAGGAGTAGGAGTAGGAGTAGGAGTAGGAGTAGGAGTAGGAGGAGGAGGAGGAGGAGGAGGAGGAGGAGGGGAGGAGAGGAGGAGGAGGAGAGAGGAGGAGGAGGAGGAGGAGGAGGAGGAGGAGGGCAGGAGGAGGAGGGATAGGAGGAGGGAGGAGGAGGGAGGAGGGAGGAGGGAGGAGGGGGAGGGGAGGAGGGAGGAGGGAGGGGGAGGAGGAGGAGGAGGAGGAGGAGGAGGAGGAGGAGGAGGAGAGAGGAGGAGGAGGAGAGGAGGAGGAGAGGAGGAGGAGAGGAGGAGGGGAGGAGGAGAGGAGGAGGAGGAGGAGGAGGAGGAGGAGGAGGAGGAGGAGGAGGAGGAGGAGGAGGGGAGGAGGAGGAGGAAGGAGGAGGAGGAGGAGGAGAGGAGGAGAGAGAGGAGGAGGAGGAGGAGGAGGAGGAGGAGGAGGTGGAGGAGGAAGGAGGGCGGAGGGAGGAGGAGGAGTGGAGGAGGAGGAGGGGAGGAGGAAGAGGTTGAGGGAAGGGAGGAGGAGGAGGAGGAGGAGGAGGGGAGGAGAGGAGGAGGAGGAGGAGGAGGTCGCGGAAGAGGAGGGAACACCAAGGACCGGGAGGAGGAACGCGCACCAAGACTCGCGACGCGGTCGCAGCATTCAGGGCCCTGCAGAGAGGCTCAGACCCTGGTCGACCTGGGCCTCAGGACCCAGGTGCCCGACGAGGTGCTTTTCCTCTCCGCGCCCGGGACGGCCCTTTGACGCGGTCCTCCCAGGAGGAGGAGGAGGGAGGAGGAGGAGGAGGAGGAGGAGGAGGAGGAGGAGGAGGAGGATGAGGATGAGGATGAGGAGGAGGAGGAGGAGGAAGAAGAGGAGGAGGAGGAGGAAGAAGAGAGGAGGAGGAGGAGGAGGAGGAGCGAGGAGGAGGGAGGAGGAGGAGGAAGAAGAGCTCGAAACTGTGGAAGACCGCCTGCGGACGCCTGAGGAGGAGGAGGAGCGAGGAGGAGGGAGGAGGAGGAGGAAGAAGAGCTCGAAACTGTGGAAGACCGCCTGCGGACGCCTGGGGGAGGCGGCCAGGTGCCGCCACTGGCTGCCCTGCATCGAGCTCCCCTCGAGGGCCGAAGAGGACCTCGAGGCGGGGCGCCGCTGCTCGGAGCGGGAGGCCCTCGGCCCTCGAGGCGGAAGTCGGGTGCGGAGCTCCGAGGACCTCCGGGACCTCGAGGACACTCGACCAGCGGGGGCGCGGCAAAGGTAGAGAGGAGCAGGAGAACACACACACGCACGAAAGTTAGGAGATCCGCGAGGACTTCTCGGATCGACGCTCGGGCTGCTGCGCCCCCGCTGGGCGAGTCCTCGAGGCCCCGGAGGTCCTCGGAGCTCCGCGCCCGACTTCCGCCTCGAGGGCCGAGGGCCTCCCGCTCCGAGCAGCGGCGCCCCGCCTCGAGGTCCTCGGTCCTCTGCCGTGCCCGCCGATGTGCCTTCCTCGACGATCGGCGGGCGCGCTGGACCTCGAACCTCGACCCTCGGGCGGCAGGTGCGCTGGGCCCCCGAAGCTCCATCCTTTTGAAGCGGCCAGAGTGGCACGGGAAACGTGGGCACGAGGCCCAGCAACAGAGCGGAGGTGGAGGAGGTGGAGGAGGAGGAGGAGGAGGCGGAGGAGGAGGAGGAGGAGGAGGAGGAGGAGGAGGAGGAGGAGGAGGAGGTGGAGGGGGAGGGGGAGGGGGAGGAGGGGGAGGGGGAGGAGGGGGAGGAGGAGGAGGAGGAGGAAGAGGAGGGAGGAGGAGAAGGAGGAGGAGGAGGAGGAGGAGGAGGAGGAGGAGGAGGAGGAGGAGGAGGAGGAGGAGGAGGAGGAGGAGGAGGAGGAGGAGGAGGAGGAGGAGGAGGAGGAGGAGGAGGAGGAGAGGAGGAGGAGGAGGAGGAGGAGGAGGAGGAGGAGGAGGGGAGGAGGAGTGTGGATAGGTGAAGTCCTCAGCCCTCCAATGACAGGTCCGGGGAGGTTTCGTGACACATTTCGTGCCGGAGCAGGGGGCCCAGGGATGGCCCCCAAGAGCGTTTAACAGTTTTAACGCCGATTGGTCTGCTCCCAGTGTGTTTTATTGCATCGTCTTGCGGCGGGTCCCAAAGGGGCCAGGTGACCGGAAAAAGTTTCCCACATTCTGGCCGTGATACTCTGTCGCGTTTTTTTCCCCCCAGCTTTCCTCCGAGCTGGGGCGTAAATGCGTGCAGTTGCAAATCGCTCCAGCGCGCAAAGCATTTTCCAGAGCAGGCGTCGTGGCGACACGACGGCCTGAAGCGAGCTGAACTGTAGCACGAACTGTAAACGTGATGGCTCAAGAGTAACGTCGTGGCGACATGACCATGCCACCATACGCATGCAAACGATCTTCTGACTCAAAAGACAACCGCCTCGTCAAACGTATTGCCACAACCTTGGAGACAACGTTGAGGGAGGTTCAGGGGCTGCCCTTGCGAGAAGAGCTGAATCCGCCGGCCCCCTTGTGGGGCCACCAGGCTGTAGGCCCGTGATTCGCAGTTTCCTGTACCAGTCGTAGTTTGTAGTTTCCAGTGTTACAAGTCTGCTTCTTGCTGGCTACTGTAACTAGATGATTGACCGCGCGAGGGGGGGGGAGGCCCAAACGGGATTTTTAGCGTCTCCTGGGCGCGTTGTCTGAATTGCTGGGGGGGCTCGAAATCAACACCCCTCACGCAGATCCGCGGGGTCAGGGTCCAAAAACACAAGGGATTTGCCACATTTCTGAAATTCGGTGCCACCCCTCACGCAGATCCGCGGGGTCAGGGTCCAAAAACACAAGGGATTTGCCACATTTCTGAAATTCGGTGCCACCCCTCACGCAGATCCGCGGGGTCAGGGTCCAAAAACACATGGGATTTGCCACATTTCTGAAATTCGGTGCCACCCCTCACGCAGATCCGCGGGGTCAGGGTCCAAAAACACAAGGGATTTGCCACATTTCTGAAATTCGGTGCCACCCCTCACGCAGATCCGCGGGGTCAGGGTCCAAAAACACAGGGGATTTGCCACATTTCTGAAATTCGGTGCCACCCCTCACGCAGATCCGCGGGGTCAGGGTCCAAAAACACAGGGGATTTGCCACATTTCTGAAATTCGGTGCCACCCTTCACGCACATCCATCGCAAGGCGTGGTAACCCAAACTGCGAGAACTCCCTCGGCCCTTTAATCGCAAGGTGTGGTAACCAAGCCCGTAAACCATACACGTCTTACCAATCGCCAGGTGTGGTAACCCCTCTTGTGATCAGTTGGTTTTGCTGATTGCGAATCGGCTTCGCATGAAGTTTCGATACTGCTTCACGACAGCGCCAAGGCCTCATGACTTAGCTCTTCCATGGCCCATTCTCCGAGAGAGGGGGCCGGCGGCAGGGGGCGAAGCCCTTACGGATAATCCAAAGCTGGTCAGCCTTCAGACGTGCACCGAGTATCTCACCGCAATAGCAGGAGAGCAGTAAGCATGGCAGAACATGAACAACAGACACATCCACAAGGAGGAGGAGGAGGAGGGATACCCTCAATCCTCTATCTATCCTCGAACCTCTCTCCTCCACTCTGGACCCTCCCCCGAGCCTCGGTCGTCCCTCGAGTCTCGACCCTCCCTCGATCGTTGAGAAGAAATTTGGACGCCCGCAATGCGTACGGAAATCTAATGGGCACGGTGCCCCACAAGAGATTCTGTCGGAAACCGGCAGCGGCGGCTGTTGGGCAGGCGGCTTTCGGAACCAAAAAGACAACGCCCGCGGGGTTACGGACAGCGAGTTTTGTTCAAAATGGACAGCGGCTGCTGTCGGTCTTCGTACCCATTCTCTCCGTACTAGAGGCCTCTCCTCTCAGATGGGTTCCGAGCAGATGGGGTCGGAAAATCGCGCCGCATCGCCTATGCATCGCCCATGCGTCGGCGACTTTGGCGGTGCATGGTCGGTGCATCGTGGGCGCTGGCGTGGCGAAAATCGGGCTCCGCATCGAGCCACATCGTCGATGCATCGGCGATGCGGCGGAATCCCCCGACCCCAACTGCTCCCACCCCACCCGGGAGTCCTGGACATCACCACCTCTTTCGTGCCGAATCCTCGACCGGCTGGCAGGTGGCGACATCCAAACCCTACACCCACCAACCATCGATTCAGGAGCACCGATGGGAGGCAGGTGTATGGTTTGGATGTCGTAAGGATCGGGGGCGCGCAAACATGGATTAGCGATCCATGGATTTGGCGCGCGGTCGCCAAGCCCATGGATCGGGGGAGGTGCCCTCCCCAAAATGAGGCCGGTGCTGCCTCGTTCGGCGGCGGGAATCTGCCATTTCCCATGGAAGCGGGACCCGTCGCTATTCCACGCCCCCTTGATCCATGCTTGCGATCGCCTGAAAGGTGTTCGACGAATTCTGAACCCTACCCCCTCCGCCAACCGAATTGCCCGAATCTTGAGCAGGGACCGACCGGCCAGGCGTTCCTGTAGGCCTACCACGACATGTCCTTAGGACAAGAACACATTTTCCGAACAAC